CTTTAGGCTTCCAGAGAGTGGTCACTGGGGCTGTTTAATATTTAGCTCAACTTTGAGCAAAGTCTGCTAACACATGCTTTCTACTGATAAAACAATCTTTCTTCTCTGGCTTTCACATATGTTTGTGACACCTTGATCTCCCGGTTCTCTGAATTCCTTACCTCAACTACTCACTGCAGACCTAGTTTGATTTCTGCTTTTCTCAACAACCAGACGCCTCCCTCATCTCACACAACCCACTGAGGACAACAACCCTCTCTTCAATCGCCACATCCAGAATCCTTCAACCACTCCAAGACCTACATCACCTGATCCAACCTCCAGTTTGTTTTTCAGCCCCATGGTTTTCCTCAAGCCCAACTTACATTCTGGCGCCAATCATTAAAATGGCTCCCTGGCTTCACCCTCATCTCCTCTGTGCCACCACCGCTTCCCCATACTCCTTTGGTGAGATCACAGCCCCAGTTAAGTCCAATTCTCCACCCAGTTGCACCTGCCCCAGGCAGCTGGACTTGGCCACAAGTGCTCAGCAGCGCCCGGCTCTCCCCGCAAGCCGTGCTCCTGAGCAGTCACTCTGTTTTCTCTCCCAGAAGCCCTTCCCCTCCCATCCTCACTTCCAGCGGATGGTCTCGTGGCCTGCTGCCTTCTCCTGGTAGAGGCTGTGCTCACCTGCCTCCGGCTGCCACGGCCTTCCCCAGTGTACGTCTCATCTCCCAGGCTTCCAGGTGGAGATGCCCAGGACGAAGTGCTTGGTCTCTTTCTCTGCTCCATCTGTCTTTTCCCTCTGAGTAATCTTACACATTTTGTCTACAAAACTCCCAACATTCGTACCTCCTCCTTCAAGGAACCCCCCACCCCCACAGTTCATAGCTCACATATCCTTTGTCTACCTTCTTTAATAAAGAAGGTACTATTTGGTAAACTTTTCATTTTCAAGATCTTCAGGAAGTAAAGTGTAGTGTTCCTCCTGAGCAGGAAGGTGGGTCTGTGCTAGCTGTGAAATTGAGGCAAATTGTGCTTCTAAAACTCAGGTGGGTGGGTAGGGATTAGGGAATCCATTGAACATTTCTGGAATATCAATTGTGTCACTTATCAAATGAAGGAAACCACCTTCATGAGCTCTAAAATCACCTTCAGCACTTCAGCATTTGAGATTCAATGCCCTCAGCAACAAATCGAGAGGTTAAATACGCCAATTCTGCTTAGCACTCTCAAAGCCATCCAGCCAAGCAGCACCTCCTCGTTGCTCAGCAACCTTGAGTCTTCCTCACATCTGCTGCAAAGCCTCTCACCATCTTCCCTAACAACTGTCACCAGAGCATTTTCCCATGAATGCCCATAAGCCCACTCTCACCCTACAACTGTTTCCTCTCAATCCATCCATGCACACATCCTGTTTAGTGACACATCAGAAGCCAATTACAAAGAACAGATTTTTCTGTCCTTAGCCCCAGGTGCCAGTGAAGTTCACTGACACACTTGTAAACCTAGAAAAGCTACGAAGCAAAATGCAATGTGCCCTTCATGGCAGAAGCAACAGAAATAGCAGAAGCAATGTTACTTGTGAAATCACCTGCTGACTGACTGGTTAAAATGTCCTGGGGTGATTCTACCTAAGGTCCTTAAGTAGCAATTTTATGTTGGTTTATTTTCTGATATGAACATCCTTATAAAGCGGTTCCGGCTTTGCTCCAGGGATGTATGTGACTGTAGGAAATTCACTTTATTTTCTGCGACATAGTTTGCTTATCTCTAGAAGAGAGTTAATGATAACCATATGCAAGGTGACCCCATTGGAAAGGCTGCCTGCAGGCATAGGCCATTGCATTTCAAACAGGCAGCTCTGACAGCAAGAGCAGACACACAACAGTGTTGAGGCAGTTTTAAAGGAAATAGTTAAAAATAAATAAATAAATAAATAAACACATGCCTTTTGCAGCAACATGGATGGAGCTGGAAAAGATCATGCTTAGTGAAATAAGCCAGAAAGAGAAAGAAAAATACCAGATGGTTTCACTCATAGCAGGAGTATAATGGACCAGGGCAGAAAATAATAATAATAATGAACAGCCATATACCAGAGACATTTTATGGGGGTGGAACGGGCAATGGGATCAAAAATGGTGGGGGGGGGGGCAATGCACTGGACTATGGTGATTTGGTGATGGGAAAGCCCATAGGGATAACTGAGATGGAAAAAGGCACAAAATGATGTAAAAATAAACTATTATATTATTTAAAAAATACACAAAAACAAAAGCCTCACTGCTGCCCACTGGAAGGGTATGCCTGGAATACCTAAAGCCTATCAGTCAGGAAGTCTGGTTCACAGTCAGCCCACTTGAATCTTTCAGTTACTCAAGGACAAAATGAAGGCCCTTCCCAGAGGGTTGTTACAAACAACCAATGGTTGAATTCAGATCTTTGACTGCTTTTGCAGTTACAGGTAATGTAAATGAGAACTTTTAGAGGAATGTCGCCCTCCAGGAGGCTAAGAGCACAGGCAGTATCGGTCAGGCAGCTTTTGTGACTATGTCATTAGGGACTATGTGCCATTACAGACCGTGGCCTCAGTCACTGGGGGCTCGTCTTCTGGATACCTCGCTTGGTAGGGCCCACCTCTTTCCAGCAAGAATCAAGCTTTTCCCTGACCTTTCTCAACCAAACTGCTCCAGCAGGCCTCAGACAGGCACCTACTCGCATACTTCCAACCCTGTCCGCGCCATCTTTCTACAGCTCTCATCCTCCCAGCGACTGGCCATGAGCAGAACCTTCGCTCCAAGCCTGAGTGTTTTTTCAGTGCGCTGTAGTAAATACATGCATTTCTAAACATGAAATAACTTAGACAATATTAGCCTTCCTGAGTACGCCAGGACAATAATAGAATAATGAATGCCATAGGAAAATCAGGCTCATTAACTTCTGAATGTCCAATCCTGTTCCAGGTCTCTTGGGCTTAAGAAGGACAACCAACTATTACAATGGTTTCAGTTTCCTGGGGTAATCAATTTTATCAAACAAAAGAGAATTCCAAAAGATGCTGCTGACTGGGGAGCCCCAGAGAGGAAGGTGCTGAAGTGACAGCTATGGGGGAGCACAGTTTCTGCAGCTTCTAACAACAGCCCTCCAGTGAAGGGTATTGTCAAAGCACCCACCTTGTTGAGGACATCACGCTGGCAGCCAAGGTACAGGTTGGGAAGAATTCGGGTCGGCCCAATGTTGGCGACAGGTAAGCAAGGCTGAGAAATGCAGGTAGGGACGAGAGTGGATTTTCCTTCACAGAGGCCAGGGAAACAACGGGAGAACTCAGCAAAGCCACCTACGGACAAAATTATAAAATTATGTCAGGTAACAAAGATAAAAATCAGCCTTTGTGAGCTACTCAAATACTGCTTAAAAAGAAAAACCTAGCCCACAGATGCAAGTGCACATGCGTGTGCCTGTTGTATTCCTTTCCACAGTCATGGCTGCACAGTCTGAAGTGCAACCCTACAAAAGGATGGGCAAGTCCAGGGCACTTAAAGCGACTCCTATGTGTCTCACTCTCTTCATCTTCAGTCCTTACAACTGCTCACTATTCCCCCCCCCCCCCCCCGTGGGAATGCTCTTTGTGGAATGTAAAGAGGATTTAAAGTCAGTAGCAAGAAATGAGGCCAAGGTAATTACTCACAGAAGCAAAACAGGGATATTAAAAAAAGTGAACTAAGGCCAGAGATTACTTCTTCAAAATAAAATGGATCAAGTTAATTTTTTTCTCTAGAATTGGCTTCACAGGTTCCTACTCCACAGGTTTTTAATTTCTAAGATCTCGCAAACATTCTCTGTGACTCCTCTAAATACTCTCTTATCGAGTCCTTGGAATTCCCTGGGCAGTTAGTCAAGGTTCCTCTAATTACCACAGAGTCTCAGGGTCTCCTGTCTATTTTGCTGAGCCTCAGAGAGAAGTGTTGCTAGACCCCAATTACTTATTGAAGGCCTGTGGCAAGATTCCTGGACTTAAAGAATTTGAGTTTTTCTAGTCCTGTCCTTGGACTGAATGCTCAGTGACCTTCATATGTCATGGGTTTGCCACCCTAGAGAAGAGAGGTCTTTCCAGTCCAACACACCCTCACCTCCTAGGGAAGCAAAATGAGTAAGCTCTCCACTGGGTTTTCCAGTCTCCACAGTGCTGGCTAACCAAATCCAAACTCAAAAACTAACCAGAAAATGATACATTTCCAGATAAATCCCTGCTATCCACACTCAGAAGCTAAAGAAATTTGGAATCTAGGGATAGTTATGTCTTTTTAATACTACTAAGTATTAAAAAGAATGGACATGTTAGGGCTTCTCAGAAGACAGGGCAGCCTCCTCAACCCACCTTGACTTCACTGGTCAAGTCTTAAGACACTGAAATCTCCTGAAATATTTCTCTTTGGGTCTTTGAGTGAGATTCTACTAGCCTTTCCAGAATCATAAAAAATGTGCGCTTAAATCCTGCACCGTTGCAGGGGCTTGAGTTAAGGACCATCATCACTAAATGTCCCCTGTGTCACCCGCTGGACACCCTGCAGTCCCACAACAGAGTGAGGATGGCGGGGAGGCCGTGACAACTCTGACACCTGTGAAACATAAAAGTGTAACCCTAGCTGCCAACCTAAGTGTCTGCATGGTTTTCACTCACAAGCAGTTGGATTACTGAAGTTCTTAAGGTAGCCAGCAGGAAAGAGTGGACACCCTCATCACAGAAAACTCCAAGTAGCTGTGAGTGACAGACAAGGCCTTCTTGTCTACTGCACCGGCGCAGTTTCATTCCATACCATTTCCTGCAAACCTGCACGCTGGCTACACAAAATCTGTGTGATGTCTCCGCTCCTGCCATCCTCTTGCCCAGGAATCCTGCTGGTGTTCACGGGGCACACACGCCCCGTGCACCCTGCCGCCATTGAGCAGGGAGAGCACACAGGGCTCTTAGGGGTCTCACCGCCAGGAGCCCCGGCTTTGTCTGACACGAGCAAGGCCTTTAAACCCTCAGGTTATTAACTTTCCTCTCAGTAAAATGGACATAATGATCATCCCTGCCTGAGGCATCCCCAGGGTGAAATTAGCTAATGCAAGTAAAGAACCCTGAGCCTGGTGGTGGCGTCAATAGTACCCGTGATCACTGTTCCCATAGGAGGTCATCCTTTAGGCGCCCTCTCCCATGGCAGGCCTTCCTCCACCCTCCAGCTAACTGTTCAGCTGAGACACCGAGTGAAATGGTTACACTTCCCAAAGTGTGCTCCAGCATCCTGCCCTGAAAGGGTCCAAAAAGGAAGAAAATACTGCATGTCCCCTCTCTCTGGGCCACTCAGAACACTCATTAGCTTTTAAAGGCCCCCAAAAAGCATCTCTGAAGAAAATGGTTTGACTTCAATTAATTTCAATAAGTTCCCCAAACTTGCTTTGGAGGATGGAATTCCCCAGCCCATTCCCTGCCACCTCTCCCCAACCTATTCATAGTTCGGTTACCTTTATACTAGATTCACATTAAGGCCACTGCCATGACTGAAATGGAGTCAAAAAGAAATCTCACACCTACAAATATGGCCCAGCGGCAATCTCAAAATGAGCCTCCTATGGTGACCACTCCTGAAGAGAGAAATCCTGTACTGTCAAAAAGGATGTAAAACAATAAATGAGATAAATGAAAAAGAAATATAAATTTAAAAAAAAAAGTACTAGTCAATCTTGCCACACGGAGATGGGCATCGTTGCTTTGACTTTATAAATTTTTTTTTATTACTTTTCAGTCCCTCTACTGCCTAATAGTTATTTAAGGTGAGATTTCTCCCCCGAAGTGATTCTTGTAAAAATAAATGTTAACATGGTTCATCATTTTCTGTCTCTCTCATAACTACCCCACACAGGCACTGACACTACTTTGATTATAATTTAACTGTATGAGTTTGCATTTTAACTTGTTTTAACTCCTGTGATTTGGCTGCTTCTTCAAGAATTGTTTTTGTTTTTTTCCATCCTGGGTCCCAAACACTGGGATGGTCTCTTATTTAAATCCAACAAAACTGTATTCTAGTAAATGTTCTGAGAGAAAGGATAAACCAGACGACCCAACGAAGCTGCCCCCGAGTTCCATTTCAAATGCACAATTCTACTTACAAATAAGTAGTCACAGAACTACTGAATGTTCACTGGGTGACAAGCATTGCTCTATTTATTCAATCTACTAATTCAACTGCTCTGTGAAGTCAGTGCTGTTGTTATTCTCATTTTACAGATTAACAGAGGAACATAAAGACTTGAGTGGTAACAAGGAGAGTGGGAATGAGTCCACGCCTGAAGCACAATCTCTGTGCTACACTATTTCTCTACTCACTACAGAATTCATGTCCACTCTCTCCAAACTGCAGGGACAACCTTGCTGATATCAGTGGGGTCCTGCCCTCACCAGCCATGGTGGCTGACATGCCAGGGTCTCAGTTATGGGAGAAAATGGCCAGGGGCCTTCCTCAACTCAATGGAAAAGTTTTTACCTGAAGCTGTGTGGTTCAAAAGCCCCAGTGAGGGAGAAAGAAAGGGAAGGAGGTCAGGCACACCAGAGACACAAGAGCTTTAAATGCACGTCACAAGAAACCTGACAGGTGAGTGAGGCAAAAGGGAAACAGAGCCACTGTTTTGCTGGTAACCACCCTCTGCGAGTGGTAGTGAGGCTGAGGTTGGGCCTGAGGGCTCTGAGCTGGTCTCCACACTGCGACTATCACAAGGGATGCAACTGGGCGGCAGTCCTGACCCGAGTCAGTCAGCCAGGCCCAGACTGATCTAGCTGTGGCATTCGAAAGTACAGTGATCCTCAACCCCCTTACTTATCGCACACCTCAAAAGTGAGCGAGGTCCTAGAAACTTCGAAGCCAGTTCCAAAACAAATGAGAAAATTTTATTTTTAAAGACTTATTCATTTATACATATAAGAACTGGGGAACAGGCAGAGGTGTGGGGGGTTGGTGAGAGGATTCATCATAGAGTGGGAAGCAGAACAGGCAGACCTACTAAAACACACTGCTGAGGGGAGCAGTGGCAAGACAAGAGAGGTCTGCCATGCCAAGTGGGTCACCTCCCTGGCAAGGAATCAAACTCATGCTGCAGTGGCTGTGGATAGTTTCATAGTGCTGCGAATTTTAGCTGTTGAGCCACCAGGGAGGGCCCCAAATGAGAGAATTCTAAAAACATGTTTTAGCCTCAAAACCAGCAAAAAGCCAAACAATAGCAATAACTTGTTATAAAATACACATAAAACAAACCCTTTTTACGAATCTTTTCAACTGATCTCTAGCACAAATCAGAAGCGCCTTCACATTAGTTAGCAGATTTTGCTGAAATTGAGGCATTCACTCAGTGCTCAGTCTGGCTCACAATGTGCCTAACCATGGCTTCTACTGACTTCCAGAAAACAATGCCTCAGCCAAAAGGTCCATTTTCCCCTGATGTTATCTGTGACAGTGTTCCACTCCACCGACATCCTCCTTCATTGACAGCTTTTTCCATTCACTGACCTTTCATTCATTGTTGCACTCTAGTGACCCCAGTTTCATTTTGCTAATTAACAGCAGATGAGACAGTGCCTGGTTTCTCTGAGCCCTTGAAAAACTAGCTGTGGTCTCATCAGCAAGTCAGGCTTTGACCGATGTCTACGACGTCCCCCTTCCTCTTACAAAGCAGATCCGCAACGGCATTCATTACGTCACATGCGCTGACAGATGCATGCCGTCACAACTGTGTCCCATGGACCCCACCTTGGAGCCCACGGCAGGAAGACAAAACAGCCGTTCATTATCCTTTGTTTACTGTGAAAAGCAGTACTGAAAAACTAATTAGCTGTTTGGAAAAGTTTTAAAATCATTTCTAAATTTCAAGGATTTCGCTTATGGTTCAATCTGCCAAGTTTCTCCTTGCTCCAAATTTTATGCCGCTCATCACCTGCGACTACAAACAAGAGTGCATTGCATAACCCACATTTGCTTCCCCGAGAGAACTGCTGTTCCGAACAGTTGTGCCCGCTTTTCCCCTGATGCTAGGTGGATGCGTGAGATGTCTATGTGCTCTATGCAGATACCCCTTGTCTGCAGAGGAAAGGGGTCTAGTAGACAGAGGCACGTAGACACCACTCGCCTCTACAGATTTGTGTGGACAGGTAGATAATCTGCAGTGTTAAAATCTGTTTGTTGGTTTCCCACCAACCTGTCCACTAGAATGCATGTTTATGAACAAAAGAACCCATCAGGTTGTCGAAAAAGTCATGATATAACATGTTTCATGACCTTTCTGACATACCAAGTATGTATT